GGCAGGCGGGGGCGGGGCCACGGCTCTTTTATCTGGAGTTCGCGCGCCGGGTCCTCCGCCGCTAGCTTCTGTCGGAGCTGACACGGTGCCAGTGAGTGGGGCTTGGACGGACTGCGGGCTCTCGGGAACCCGAGTCGACCTGGCTAGCCAGGCGCGCTCACATCCCCTCTAACCTCCCCCTAACCTGCACCCCCAGCCCGCTGCGATGGAGGCCGCCGCTGAGTTCGACTTTTCAGTGGAGAGCCCAGACGTGGTCTACAGCCCCGAGGCCATCGAGGCTCAGTACGAGTACCGCACGACGCGCGTCAGCCGCGAGGGCGGAGTCCTCAAGGTAGGGGGCCCGGGGGCTTCGGGGAATGGAGATTGGAAGCGGGAGCGGGTCGGGAAGGGAGCTGGGGAGGGACGCGAATGGCCGGCATCTGGGACCCCGGTCCCGGGCCCCGTGGTGAAGGGGCCAGGGCTCACTAGGCTGCTCTCCCCCAGGTGCATCCCACATCCACACGCTTCACCTTCCGGACCGCCCGGCAGGTGCCCCGACTCGGGGTCATGCTGGTCGGCTGGGGCGGGAACAACGGCTCCACACTGACGGCTGCAGTGCTGGCCAACCGACTGCGCCTGTCCTGGCCCACGCGCTCGGGCCGCAAGGTGGGGGTGTCAGCTCAGGCTGCACAAGTGGGGTTCCACTGGAGTTCGGTGACAGTGAGGGGGGAGGGCTGGACTTCCAGTGAAGAAGGGCCCCTTTTGGGCATGGCTCGTGCTGTGCGGGGGGCAGGACTTTCTCCGGGAGGGGCAGGGTCTCCTAGGGGTCTTACAAAGTGGGCCCAGGTTGTGATCTCTGGAGGGGAGGGTGGTTTCCGCCCTGGCTTGGAGCAGGGAGCAGGGGGGGAGGGGGTGGCGCCGTGGAGACTTGAGTACTGACCGGAGGCGCCTAAGCCACGCCCACCCCTCACACCCGCCCGGACTGCCATTCTTTAGGAGGCCAACTACTATGGCTCGCTGACCCAGGTGGGCACTGTCAGCCTGGGACTGGACTCCGAGGGCCAGGAGGTGTTCGTGCCCTTCAGTGCCATGCTGCCAATGGTGGCACCCAACGATCTCGTGTTCGATGGTGGGTGGGGCCCTGGGCAGGGTGTGTGGGTGGTGAGGGTATCTGGGGTCCCGCTGAGTTTGAGGATTCCCTGCAGGATGGGACATATCATCCCTCAACCTGGCTGAGGCTATGCGGCGTGCCCAGGTGCTGGACTGGGGGCTGCAGGAGCAGCTGTGGCCGCACATGGAGGCCCTGCGACCTCGGCCTTCTGTCTATATCCCCGAGTTCATAGCTGCTAACCAGAGTGCACGTGCAGACAACCTCATCTTAGGCACACGCGCGCAGCAGGTGCGGCCACCCCAGTCCCTCAATCCCTGCCATTTGTTCCACTACCAATTGTGTCTAGCCCCTCCCCCCAGCCACCTCCCACCCCCTTCACCTGTTCCCCTCCTGTGGTCTGCATGCCTCCCTCTGTGTATCTAGGACCTACTTTGCACTTGCGGAATTGAGCACATCAGATCTCAATAGGTCAGGGGCCTGTACAACCTCTCCCCAACTCCCACCCCCTAGCTAGAACAGATCCGCAGGGATATCCGTGACTTCCGGTCAAGTGCGGGGCTGGACAAAATCATTGTGCTGTGGACAGCAAACACAGAGCGCTTTTGTGAAGTGATTCCAGGCCTCAATGACACTGCTGAAAATCTGCTGCGCACCATCCAGGTGCGTATACCCCAGGTTGTGTGAGCAGGGCCAGCCCTAGAGAGTCCGTGGTACTGACTGTCCACTTGGCTTACAGCTGGGCCTGGAGGTGTCACCCTCCACACTCTTTGCTGTAGCCAGCATCTTGGAGGGCTGTGCCTTCCTCAATGGGTCCCCGCAGAACACGTTAGTGCCTGGTGCGCTCGAGCTTGCGTGGCAGCGTCGTGTCTTCGTGGGTGGAGATGACTTCAAATCAGGCCAGACCAAGGTCAAGTCTGTACTTGTGGACTTCCTTATTAGCTCTGGCCTCAAGGTATGTAAGCCTGAGGGTACCCAACTCAGGACAGGGAAGCCCAGATGCCAAGTGTCCAACTTGTGGCCATGGGGCCTTTTTATCTGCAGACCATGTCCATTGTGAGCTATAACCACCTGGGCAACAACGATGGGCAGAACCTGTCAGCGCCGCCGCAGTTCCGCTCCAAGGAGGTGTCTAAGAGCAACGTGGTGGATGACATGGTGCACAGCAACCCTGTGCTGTACTCACCGGGCGAGGAGCCGGACCACTGCGTGTGTGGGGCAGCTAGCAGGGGGAGGGGCGGGGCACAGAACTGGGCGAATACCTGTGTGACCGAGAACCGTCCTGCAGGTGGTCATCAAGTATGTGCCGTATGTGGGTGACAGCAAGCGCGCTCTGGACGAGTACACGTCGGAGCTAATGCTGGGCGGCACCAACACGCTGGTGCTGCACAACACGTGCGAGGTAGGGTTTGGTGCAGTAGGGCTCCTGAGGGGGGGCCGGCCCTGCTGCGCCCTCCTCCTGACCCCTTGGCCCCCAGGACTCACTTCTGGCTGCCCCCATAATGCTGGACCTCGTGCTGCTGACTGAGCTATGCCAGCGTGTAAGCTTCTGCACTGATGTTGACCCGGAACCACAGAGCTTCCACCCGGTGTTGTCGCTGCTCAGCTTCCTGTTCAAGGCACCACTTGTGCCACCTGGCAGCCCGGTGGTCAACGCCCTTTTCCGCCAGCGCAGCTGCATTGAGAACATCCTCAGGTGGGCCTGGCCTTGAGGGTCCACACCTGTGGCCCACGTGGCCGCCTACCAGGCTGTGCACAGATCCTAGGAATTAAGGTTGTGGGGGAAACCCAGGCTCTAGCCCCACTGAACCCTTACCTTCCCCCAGGGCCTGTGTGGGGCTACCGCCGCAGAACCATATGCTTCTGGAGCACAAGATGGAACGTCCTGGTCTCAAGAGGATTGGGCCTGTGGTAGCTGCCTGCCCAGTGCCTCTCAAGAAAGGGCCGGTTCCCAGTGCCCCCAATGGCTGTACTGGTGATGCCAATGGGCACCCCCAAGCTCAGGCACCCAAGACACCCGCCACCTGAGGCTGTGGCCATACAGCTACTCTAATTCCTGCCCCTATTGTCCCTCAGGAACTTATCTTTCCAGATCCTCCACTGAAGCAATAAAGCTAGTTCCACTGTCAGCCACATATCTCTGCCTATGGGTTTTTGGTGCTAGACCTAACCCTAAGCACCCTTTAAGTCTGGCTGAATTCTTCTGTCTTTCAAAATTCAGCTGTTGGCCTAAACCTACAATCTTCTAGAACCCAGTGCCTCTGCCTTTGAAAGCCCTTGAAAGACTGATTGCAGGTTAATATGAAAAACTTTGAGACCAAGTACCAAAAACCAAATTACATTTATTGATGGGTCCCACCCCCTGCCATCCAGGGGAAGGAGGTTCCCCATTGAGCCCCCCTCCTCCATGATACAGAAAATGGTAGGCAGGGCCCAAGGGCCCATTCAGGAGAGTCTCTGAGGTCCTTGCATTTTTTTTTTATAAAATGAGAAAGTCCTTTGTGCTGGGCCTCCCAGCATCCAAGCCTTGACCAGGAGTCCAGTTGCCTGAGGTGTGACCTCAGACCCTTACCCTGCAGACCCCCAGTCCCTGGACTTTGGCCCTGGGCAGGGGCATTGGGCAGAAGCCGAGTCCGGCAGTGGACAAGGGGGCTGTTGCCCATCACACGCTCATGGTCATCCCGGGGGAGTACTGCAGAGAGACGAGGGTGGCGCGCGGGCCTACTCAGCTCTAGCTGAGTCTGGGACCCGCCCCCCAGGGAGAATGGAGGATGGGGAAGGAAGAAGGGGCTGGGCTGTGAAGCAGCCCCAGGGCACCGATCCCAAGGTAGGGGTGGGGTAAGGGTGGTCGGTAATAAGGCAAGGAGGAAGGAAAAAGTAAGGAAGGCCGCCCCCCCACCTGGCCCGCCGCGGTCACCGCGGTCACGGTCTTGCTCTGGCCCCCCGGCCGCCCCGTCGGGGCCTGCCTGCCAGGCCCCTCCGGCCCGACGCCGCCGCGGGGGGAGAGTCGACGCAGTCGCTTACGCTTTCACTCGGGAAGGGGTGCAGGAAGGTCCCGGGGGCTGCCATCTCGCCATCATCCCGCGGGGTGCCCGGGGCGTTGCCCAGGCTGGCCACGGTGCCAGGGGAGTTCTGGGGGCAGCCACAGTCAGCTGCAGGTAGCCTCGGCCAGCCCCGCCCCATGCACAAGGCCCTGCCCCCCGCAGGAGCAGCCCCTCACCTTTGGCAACCCGTCTATCTCGCTGGAGCCTGCCGACCAACAAACCACGGATGAGACTCATGCACCTCCCGAGACCCACCCTCAGGGGTCTCCAGGCTGCTCAGCACTTGCCTGCACGGCCGCCCTCCTGCTGTGTGAGGGCAGGTACCTTCCAGGCACCTTCTAGACTTAGTTGTTGAACCATGGCCACAGCTGCCCCCCTCCTCCGCCCCCAACTCCAGGCTGGGGTGCTGAATGGCCTCAGAGGGTCCTGGCACATCCACTCACCCAGGGATCCGTTCACGTGGTGAGGCTCCATCGAATTCATGGCAGCCATGGGGCCCTCTGAGCCAGGCCCCAGTGGGAACTGCAGACGGGCAGGGGGAGGGGCAGTGTGGGACTCAGGTCACCAGCCCTCTCGGGGGTACCCACCTCTGGAAGCCCACCCCACACTCACGTTAGCCCTGCTGTTGCCTGGCCCGATGGGGTTCATGATGGTGTACATGTTCTCACTGGAGTTGGTAGAGTCTGGGAGACAAGGTGGCAGCATTCAACACGAGGGGGTAGGGGGCCCGCAGGGCTTCTCCCAAACACACCCCTGCCATATCCAAGTACCTCCAGGGCTGGGCATGATGGGTGTTCCAGGGGGCCCACCTCCTGGGGGTCCCTGCACATGGAGGGGACAGAGGCATGAGGTCCCCATCTGCCATTCCACAGCCCCAACCCCCCAGTCCCCCCATGGGGTGGCCCTACTCACCGTGTAGCTGCTGGGGGAAGAGGACGAATAGGGAATCTGGGGAAAAGGCAGTGGAGAGTGGTCTGTCCATCCCATCCCTTCAACTGCCCCAAGCCCAGTCTTCCTATTCCCCTCCCAAGACTCACCGAGTTGCCACTGGGGCTGGTCCAGGGGCCTCGCACTCCAGGGCCCCTAGAAGAGAAGGTGGGTGGGCCCTGAGGCCAAGCCTGGTAGTATACACCCCCCATACACACTGCCCATGTGCCCTCTGGACCACAGCTGCTGGCTGAGCAGCAGTGACCACTCAACTGTCCTTTGCGCTTCAGCTTCCAGACCCACAGAGGAGCTGGAGCTGCTGTGTGGGCTTTAGGTTCACCCTGGCACCCCCACAGTCCCTGGGTCTTTAAGAGCCTTACATGTTCATGGTGGGAAGGCCAGGGCCAGCAAGGGAGTTGGTGGGGGGCCGCATGCCACCTCCATAGCTCTGCAAAGGTAAAAGGACCCTGAGTACTGGTCAAGAGGGGGCAGTCACTGAGATCCCCAACAGGGCCCAGCCCTTACCTGGGGCCCAGCACCAGCCATGCCACGGGGCGGCGTCACTCTCTGCATGGGGCCCATGCTGGGATGTCCTGGTTGGGAGCAGGAAGAAGGAGGCTCAAGCTGGAACCAGCTCCCAGGCGTGGAAGGTGCTGGGGGCGCTACACAGCGAAGCAGCTGGGACTGCTAGGAGCCAAGGTGCTGATATGGGGGGTGAGGGGTGCACAGACGGGGCTCGCTACTTACCCTGAGCACGCTGAGAGGGATCCATAGTGCCAGGGAGGAGGGGCTGGGAACTGGGGAGGCCCACAGGAGGCTGCGGAGGGATATGGCGGCACTGAGCATGAGGGCCACCACCCTGACCCAACTCCTACCCCCCTCCCCTCATCCCTTTCTCACCTGACTCGGCATCCGCAGGGTGGGCCGGGGGCCCCCTGGGAACCGCGGTGACATGAAAGGCTGGAAGAGGTGGGCTGGGATCAGCACCTCCCACCCCTCACCTGCCCCTCCCTAGCTACTCTGTTTCTGTTGTGCCCAAGCCTCACACTGGGCCAGCTACCTTCTCCAGGCCCAACTGGCAGCCAGCTGCCCTCTGGCCTGGTGTGTGTGGGTGTGGGGTGGGTAGGTATGCTGGGTGGAATGTCATAGATCCTTACCTGAACTTGAGGCCCCATCATGGGGGCGTTGGGGTTGTGAGGGGGCAGCTGGGAACCAGGGAGGCCCTAGGAGGACAGAACCAGGCCGGTTGGGAGATCCAGTTTCCTGTTGCTCTGGGGAGGGTGCCATGGAGGCGGAAAGGCAGGGACGGGGTAGAGGACGGAGGCCCAGTCTGCAGGATGGGGGCTGGGGAGTCACTATGCTTCAAAGAGCCACACTTTGCCTCCCCAGGTGCCTGGCATGCAAGTCCACCTTCTGCTAGATGAGGGCACATCGTCCCTCGCTCCCTCACTAGCCACTCTGAACAGGCATGCGCATCCCCATGGTGCCCACAAGGCACCCACCGCTCTCACCTGACTCCAGCCTGCCCCCCCACCAGGGGCTCTCCCCATGGGGATTCTCATTCCCCTCAAGGCCCCACCTGTTACCCTTACACACCCAGGGTTCTGACTGTACCTGGAAGAAGCCTGGTGGCATGGGCCCTGCTGCCATTATGTCGCTGGGGGCCATACTCCCCATCACTGGGCTGGGGGCCGCTGCAGTGCTCTGTAGAGGCAGAGAGAGGCAGGGTCCGGTTGGAACGCTTCTGGCCTGAGGTCCCGCCTCAGCAGTCCACCCTGCAGAACAGCCACCCAGCCATCCTACCCTCTGCCCCTGGGTCGGTGGTGGTGGTGGTGGTGGGGGGCTCTTAAATGAAGAGGATGATTTAGGTGACATGTCCCCAGCTGGTATAGCACCCCTGACACCACCTCCTGTGTACTGGTGGGTGTTCTTCAGCAAGGGTTCTGCCTTCTTACTGCACCAGAAACCCTGGAGGCCACCAGCCAGGAAGTCAAGATCTGAGGATTCTAAGTCTGAAAATAATAGTAACCCCAGCTCCAAGGAGTGCCCAGGCCCACCCCAACCACCCTGTGTCCTAGCTGGCAAGGATATCCCAAATAAAAAGACCAAAGAAATCAACGGGAAGCTTCAAGATGAACTCTCTCCCAGAGGAGAGGGAGCACCCCCTTTCTCCAAGACTAGGGGGAAGGAGCAGCAGTCTGGGATGTGGTGGGCTCGCCGAGCCCCTGTCTCTCTTCAGATGGAGAAGGGAATAGCTAAAGCAGGCCTTTCCCCGCTGCAGGCCAACAGCTGAGGTGCTTAAGGCAGCCTGCCCTGGGAGGGGTCAGGCCCACAGGCCACTTCCCCTGCTGGTTCCAATTTGCAGACTTGACTGCCTTAGGGGCCACTTTGCCCCTCCCTGGGGGCGGGTAGGGAGGAGCACTAGTTAACCAAGACAGAGGCGACACCGCCAAGGGGGAAGAGAGAGAGCAGGTACTTCTCTAGGGTCTCGACTCTTGTCATGGCCACCAGGCCCCACGGAATGGATGGCCTGTGTAGGGACTGCTGTCCCTGGGTCTTGCACAGGCTGGCACACAGGGCACTCAGGAATTTGTGGAGCTGTAACTACTTGGGCTCAGAGCATGTTGCCCAGCGTCATACAGCGATTCTGGCCCTACAGGAGTGGGAAAGGGGTACCTGGAGATGGTCCCCCTTGGGGGGCTAAAGCCCAGCCCCTTCTGTCCTTCACAAATGTCAGCCTCCAAAGGCCTCCTGCCCAGTTGGGTACCCTGGGAGGATAGCTATGGGATTCTGCAGAGGCCTGTGATTCTTGGGGGGCAGGGTGGACGCTGGTGAGAGTGCTCCCAGATCCCAGCCCAAATCCTGTGAAAGCCCCAGTACCCTGGGCTACCCTAGTGACCCTGGGGTAGCCTATGAGCATGCCAGTTCAACCCCTCCCTCCACCTCCCCTTTCCCACACTCTGATAACCTTAAACAGCTACTCTTGAAACAACTGCTTGGGTTGCTGGAGAGGAAACCTAGAGCCCCTGGATCTTGCCCCCCAACCCTGTAGGGAAGCTGGCAAGCAGTCCGCCTCTGGAACCAGGAGGTCTGGAGGACAGAGGCGGAGCTCGCTGGGCGTCAGACCACAGGTATAGGGGCAGGGAGGATAAGGCAGTTGTCACCTGGGTGCCTTCCCAACTGAAGGATCTATTGGGGGGAGCTCCCCACATCACTCACTGGGAGAAGTACCTGCCAGGGGTTGCATTGCCATGACAACGGGCTAAGCAGCTTGCATTTCTGCAAGACTGCAAGGTCCCCAGAGTGGAGGGGTTGAGCCCCTCTTTGAAGTGCAGGAGGTGGGGTGCAACCATGTTGCTGGAGCTGCCCAGTTAGGGTAGCAATAGGCTTCTCTACCTGAGGCCCAGGGGTCTTGGATCCCCTGCCCAGAGCAACCCTACAAGCCCCTGATGCCATAGTAACGGCATGCACCCTGGGAAGCATGCTCACAGCAGAGGAAACCATATGCTTCCCCATTTCCAGAGGCAGGCAGCAAGCAGAGCCTACAGAGTCTGGGGCTGGGCTGAAAGAGGTATGGGGACAGAGCCCAAGGGGCACCAGAGAGGTATGGCAGGGGCTAGGAGTCAAGTCCACTTGGAGTCAGGCAGCTTCAGACACCTCTCTGCTCCAGGCCCAAGTACAGTGGGGCCCCAGGAGCACTGGGATCCAGCGGCAGCCACAGCAGCAACCTGCTCCCACATGCATAGTGTGTCCTGGACTTTTGGGGAACGCAGCCCTGCAGAAGCCTGCGATTCCTGGAGGCAGAGTGCACTAAGTAGAAACCCTTGCCAATTGCAGAGGTGTGGCCCTGTGCTCTGAAAGGCTGGAGGAAAGGGAAGACCTACCTGGAGCTACACCACCCCCAAACCCTTCAGGTTCACAGACCAGACCCAGCTAAGCCTAGGCCTCCCCCACCACCGCCCAGACCACTGGGGGGCCAGGTAGCCAAGCCCCACAGGTCGCAGCAGAAGGGACATGAGGAGGAGCCGGTAATAGGAGGGGGGTGCCATCTGCTCCCCTGATAAGATGCCACCCCCTCTTGTGACTCCTGCAGATGGGCCTCTGGCCCAGTGGGAAACTGAGGCCAGACGTGGTGGCAGTAGTTCTAATCCTGAGCAAGGTCAAGAACTGCTGGGACACTTAGCAACCGCACTCCCGCTGCTCCAGCTGGGGCACCCCCTCAGAGGCCTGGGAACGTTAGTGGAAGGGCAGGCAGTGGTGACCAGCCAGCCTCCTCCCCCAGGGTCACATGAAGAGTCCACTTCAGGAAGGCAAGGGCGACTGAGTGCAATGGGAGAAAGCCTCTCTACTCCACGAATGACCTGAGCCAGGCGGAAGGCTTGAGGAACTCCTGGAAGTGGCCAAGATCCAGGGCCAAACCCAGCATGCTGGTCCGCCTGCCCACCAAACCAGCCTCAGGCCTTAAAACCCCCCAAGGCCATCTGCCCCACCAGGGAGCCCCAGTCCTGGTCTCTGGTAGGTCCCTGGGTCTTTGGCTGGGGAGGGGGGGTGACTCACATAGTCCTGGAAGGCCTTGGTCTCACTCGGGTGTTCACAAGCCTCTCTGCGGTCAGGCGCAGCACAGTACAGGTCCCAGAACACGCTGTGGGCAACAGGGGGTCAGTGGTTTCCCCCCTAGCCCCCCAACTCCAGCCCGAGCCCCGCCCCCCCCAGTCCCACACGCACCACCACCAGGAATGTAGGAAGCCTGGGGGCTCGCCGAGTGTGATGTTCTTCTCCCATCGGATCTGCAGGGGAGGACGGGTGGTAAGGGCCCGGTCAGACCCCCCCACCACCACCCCAGCCCAGCCCAGCCCAGCACCCGGGGAGCACAGCAGGGAGCCTTGTGGCCAGGACAAGGGAGCAAGGACAGCCAGCACACCCCCAGCTGGGACAGATACCTTGATACCAGCCTTAGCGCCAGGGCAGCCGGAGGGGCAACCGAACCCCACAGGGGACCCAGGCTGTGGGTGGCACGGAGGGCCAAGCTAGGGATGGGGAGCTCCGGCTTACTTCAGACAGAAAGGTCTGGGCTGACTTCTGGGCACCGACGTGCAGCAGGTACTCGTACACGTACAGCGCCAACCTGCGGGGGGGGGGGGGACTCAGGGGGTGGGGAGGCAGCCCCAGGGCCCTGCCCTTGGCAGGCATGTGAGATGGTGGGCAGGAGGGCCACCGCTGCTCACTCGCTGTGCGCTCTCCCGTGGGTCCCCTAATCTCCCCACTGCCCCCTTTCCTCACCAGTTGCCCAGCTAGGCCAGCCACCCACACCCCCCCCACCCCGCCAATCAACACCCAGCACCTGGGCCCCCTGTCCAGGCATCCTCCCAGGCCAAATGCGGCTTAGCCCAACCCTTCCCCCAGACTGACTTAGTTCTGACCCCGCCCTGCTCATACTGAGACCCCAGGGCGGCCTTGGTGCCGGGAGGCCTCTGCCCAGAGAGGGGCCCCTGCTGTCACTCCTGACTGTGGGCTGCTGGGGCTCCCAGAAGGCACCGAGTCACACAGCCCAGGAGGAAGGAAGAGGCCCCTCTGCTCTGAGCCTTCCTCTCCCAGATGTCCTTTGAGCCCATCCTCTTTCTCGAGACCAGTGCCCATCTGACAGTGATGACCGTGACCTACTTGTGCCAGGCCCCATGGGTACTGGCAACGTGGGGTGGGTGAGGGGAGGTAGGACAAGCCACGCTGCACGACCGTTGGCGCTGCCTTGCTCAGTGCTCGCAGCCACGGGCTTCTGGGATACACCAACCTGACTGATGCCCACCCAGGGGCACCGGCCACCCTGTGCCCAGGAGTGCCCTCGTGAGCTCCACGGGGAGGTCGGCCTGCCCATGCGACCTCCACTTCCACTGCCCCCCTCCCCCCACCCCTCATAACCTCCCTTTCACTGGCGCTCCTGCCATCTCCCGCCCTTCCTGGCCAGGCTCAGGATGCTCACGTCCTAACCCCCCAGCAACAGACTCCCTCCTGCTCACACCTCCTTCCTCTCACACCTCACAAGAGGCCTTCTGTTCCAGACCCCACTCCCCTCCCCCTCCTCCCCTAGTTCTGCTTTGCCCTTGATCCCTGTGTTCATTCATCAAACATTCATGCAACAAACATTCACCTAGTACCTCCTGATGCTGCGCACACAACAGACCTCTGTCCCCTGGAGGCTCGCTGCTCGTGGGGGACAGGAGCAACAATACCAGGAGAAATCACGAGTTGCGCGGGGAGCTGGAAGTGAGTGTATAGTACAGGGGTGGGTGGGGCAAGGCATGGCGACAGCTCAGACCACAGGACCTATAACAGTCACCAGGGGACAGGGACAGACTCAGAGGGGTAGACTCAAGGTGGTCACTGAGGTCCAAGGGTGGTTTTCCCCCAAGACTGGACACATCATGCCACATCATCACACATTTGAAAGTGCCCCCAGCCCAGAGCCACCCCACATTCCAACCCCAACACCCCAGGAGCTTCCAGTGTCTGCCCTTCTCTAATTCTCCCGTGGAACCCCATCCTCTAGGGTCACCTGTCCCACACACTCCTGTGACCCTCTCCTTATCTATAGGATTCCTGAGTCTTCTGAAGTGGCCTGCAGCCACCAGGCCTACAGCCACCACTGAGAGGTTCACTGTGGAGCATCCAGGTCTCTCACCACCTCATACCTGGGCTAGGCCTTCAAATCTCTCCACTGCTCACCCCAACTCAAACAGAAGCCGTCTTCCACCTCTGCACAGCCAGTTGGCCTGCCGGTCACCTGCCAGGGGTCATCTAGCCCTTCCCCTGCCCCCTTTCCCCTATCATCTTCTTTACAGCCACCTGGTACAGGTCTCTGCCAACTGCCACAGCCCCCTCTGGAAATGTAGCTTTGGGCAGGGCCATTTTGCTCACTGCTCAGCTTACAACAGAGCAAACATCCTGGGCCCCCAATGAATGAACAACAAATACTGGGACCCCCTCCTGGGATGGCAAGAGGGTGACATAGGCAATTCATGAATATTGGTAAAGGCCAGTGTTTATTATTTCGATGTTAATGATTTGGGGTTTTAACCCAAGAACAAAGGGAAGCCAAAGCAATTTGGTTTTGTTGGTTTCTCTTATAGATTGATACTTTACCCAGTCCCAGCCCAGTCGCTACCTGACCTACAGAATGAAAGCTCTCCCTCACCCCCCCACAGCCGGCTAGCTCTGCAAGAGGCAGGTGGGTGGAAGGAGTGTGGGTGGCCTCCTCAACAGAAGGAACAGGAGCCTGAAGGGTAGGGGTGCCAGAACCTGGAGTACTTGTGGGGAGAAACACCCACAGGGCTGCCAGGGGAGTGGTGACATAATGGGTGTTAGAGAATCCTGGACGAAAATGTGCCACCGCCATCTTAGTCACTAAGAATCACCATGATTATCAGAGTTACAGTCACAGTGCTCCCTGCCAAGCATGCTCCTCCCCTCGCAGCCCCTGCACACAGCTGGAGGCTGGGAGACGCTATCGTCTACGTGTGGCCTGTGTAACTCCTGGCTCCCACCAGATTCCACTGAAGCCCCCAAAGGACCCTCCACCCTCACATATTTTCTTTCTTTCCCCATCTTGCATGGTGCCCCTAAGCCAGGCCTGCAGCAGCCTCTTGCCGGGGAGGCAGTCACCCTCCTCGCTGGCTTCAGCACTTGCCAGCAAGTCTCCCCTCCCCTCCACCCAGTGGTCAAGGGATGATCCCTTCTTCAGAAGTTCCACCTGCCTTCCTCCTTCCCCACCCCAGCTCTTCTCAAGAACCTCTTATCTGTGTACCCCCCAAAAGGATGCTATGGCCATACCTGGAGGCCTAGCCAGGGAAAGGACAGGCACAGAGCGATCCTTTTGCCCATCTGGTAAGGAACAACGACTCATGGTGCTGTGCCATTTCAAACCTGACCTGGGGATGAAGAGACAGAGGAACCCCAGAGTCCCTGATGGAACCATTCACACCCACTGTGAGTGTGACAGCAATCAGGATGCAAACACACCAGACAAACGCTGGGCCTCACCCCACTGCCACCAATTCATGATGGCAGAGCCTTTGGTGATGCACAAGGCCAAAGCGGCCTTCAACTGTCCCTGTCACCTCTGTCTTAGTGTTGATGTGAAGAACCCCAAACCATGACTAAATGCAAGTGCTAGTTAGATGAGTCCTGGGGGTCTTCCCAGTGGGGTGAGAGTGTCTGTTAACTTAAAGGAGCAGCCACTTTCCTGCAGCCTTGGCTAACCCTGACCCACACACCACCCGATTGTCACTTTCCTCTCCCAACTTTGTTGGCTGCACACCCAGCAGGTGCTGAGTCTGAGTCTAGCACAGACCAGCAAGGCATCGTGCTGACATGGGAGCAGGGGATGCAGAGGCCTGGAAGGGGAAGGGGAGGGGAGGCAGGAGGAGCGGGAGGCATTGAGCAGGAAGGACAGTGGCCTAGAGAGGGAAGCTTGGTCAGGGCCACCGTCTAGGGCTTCCACATGGAGCCTCCTCCACCTAGTCATTGTGATAGTCATTGTCCATATTTCAGGTGAGGAAACAGGCTCAGAGCAGCCGGTCTGCCTCTCCAGTGCACCTGTGGGCCCACGCTCCTTAGAGGACTCTCAGGCCAAAAATCCCAGGCTGAAGTCCCAGCCCTCAGTGGGCTTCCTTTTCCAGGCCTCAGAGGTAAAGTAGGGGATGTGACCATCTGGTGTTCTCCAAGCTTTCTTTTAGTAGCCCTTGGCCTCCTACTCTCCCCAGTCTCTACACACCCAACCCTACACTCTTCACCATCTCCTGCTTTTGTACTTCTCAAGATTGCCCCGAGGCTTGCTGAACAAGAATCACCCACCAAACGACTGAGTGATTCTCACTAGGGAAGTAGTCACCCCACAGCCAGCAGCCAGTGTGTGAGGATGGCCAGAGACACACAGGATCCCCAGAGGCAGGGTGGCTTTGCCAGAGATGCCCGGCTTCCAACCTGGAGTCTTCAAGGTTAAGGGTGCTTACAAAAGGAGCTCAATCTTCTAACCAGAAGACTCTCTTCCCCAAACTGACCCTGGAGTGGACACTCATCCATAAAGGTGAAAGAGGCCCAATGTCAGGCCAGTCATAATAAGCAGGACAAGGGGGCAAGTCACAGGAGCCCCTCATCCAGGACTCCACTTCACTGCCAGGTGTTCACGAACTTGCTCCAGGTCTGGTCCTCAAGGCCATCCTGGAATCCTCGCTGAGGAACCAGTTCTCCTCTCTGCTCCAGCAGCCCATTTCCCATCCCAAGGAACACTAGGTGGCTATATTTCTAGGATCCTGTAAGTTGGCTAATGGTCACCAGCCATCACAGGACTTCCCTCCTGCAGGCCTTTCTCCCTGGTAAAACCTGTGGATGCCTTTATTGTGGGGGTCTCCCAGACAAAACAAACATTTAAGAGCTCCCCAAACCCTAGGAGATGACAAGGTTGTTATGCCTGCGAAACAGTGAGCCCAGGAGAGAAGCGCTTGCCCCAGGCACAATACAGAGCAGTAGTGGCAGCCAAAGACCAACGGGGTGCATAGGGGTACCTGGCTGTCTCTGGCTGTCTCCCCACTCAAGTTCCAGCTCCCAGCACTCTCAGAGCATAACCACAGGGTCTCAGAATGCCTGCCCAACTTGCATCCAGAAAGCATCCACTGCCAACAGGCAGCACATGCCCAGAACAAGAAAGTGAAGACAATTCTGGGGCTCAGCCTTGAGGTCTCCCCAGCTGACAGGTAGCCGATAAGGTGTGTTGGGGGGGCGGGTCGGCACCCCTCATGCTTTCCTCTCCCCTAACAAGCTTTTCCCTAAGCGCGGGTTTGTGTATTTGTTATGGGGTGGAGGAGAGAGGGGGCTGTCCCACAGAAACCAGTTCTGGGAAACTTCCCTTGAGGACTCAGGAAGCACCGCGGATCTTGACCCTGCGCGCAGCAGACTCCGAAACCTCAAGCACCAAAGTCTTGATGGTGCCGGGAGGTCGAGCGCCCCTCAAACACCGCTCGGATCTCTCGCGCTCGCGCCCCCGATTTCGCGCCATGGAGTCTCGTGCGTCCCCGCAAATCTCGCGACCCCTCGGGTCTCATGCGCCCCCTCAAACCCTTCAACCCCCTCGGCATGGAGTTCTATTTATCTTGCGCCCGTCAAGCCACTCTCCTCTCGGCCGCTCCCTCAAGTCTTGGGCCTTTCGGGTTTTAGGGGCGCCCTCTTAAATCTCGCGACCACTAGAGTCCCTTAGTCTATCGCGCTCCCTGCTATCTCGCGACCCCTCGAACCCCTCTGCTCTTGTGAGTCGCCTCAAATTTAGAGACACTCGGGTCTCGCGCTTCTCCGGAAATCCCGCTACCTTCGGGTCTCGCGCACCCCCATTAATCTCGCGCCCCTAGGGTACCCACGTGCCCTGCGCGGTGCCAAGCCGGCTTTGGGGCCCTTGGAAGCAGCGCGGTCGCAGAGCCCCGCCCCCGACCCCCAACCCAGCCCACCGACTCACTTCTCGCGGGCCTGGCTGTCTGAGGGCACAGCCGACCCTTTGCCCCCCTTGGCGTACATGCTGCTCCGCGCCGCCGCCGCCGCTGCCGCCGGGTCCCACACCTGTCAGGCGGCGCCACTGGCTGCGCTCGCCGTCGCCATAGCTACCCCGCGCCCGGGGCCTCACCGCCTAGAGCCCCGCGCGAGCACCGCGGGCATCATCCGCGCGGGGGAGCTCCAGATGGCCGCGGCGGCAGCAGCAGCCCCAGCTTCGGCTCCGGCCAAGGGTTTTATTTTCTTCCTCTCTTTCCTCCGCGCGGGCTGTTCCGGGAAGCGCGCGCCCCTTCCTCCCGCCGCGCGCGCCCCCGCCCGCGCCTCCCTACCGCCCGCGGGCGCCGCTCTTAAAGGGGCGATGGCTGGCGCGCGGGTGGGTCCCTACACCGCTTGGAGCCGTGGGCTGGGGCGCGCATGCGCAGTGCGCCCGCCTTGGTGGGGGGGGATACCCAGGGACAGCAGCGGGACACAGCTGATCACGGACACGCACTAGCATGCACACACACCCCCAGATAGGGCCAGCCACCCAGATGGTACCCCCAGGAACGCTCAAGCAGCAGTACACTCTGAAGTCCTAACGGCTCCTGGAACCTCTAGTGCGGTCCATAAAGACCTTTGGCCTGGGCGTGTCACCCGCAGAGCTGCCCACGCCCAGCATGGTGGAAACCACCTCTCATACATAGCTCCCCCCTCCCGGGGGTCACACTGGCCAAGCACACGGCTCCAATAGTGGCTGTCCTAACCGTGAAACACAGACCACTGGCACCGTGACCATCGCACCGCCCGGCTCCCAAGTCAGTGGAAAGAGCATTAGCAGCTACTCGAGCACTGGCGCACACATCAGCTTTCTGAGGACTGCACACAGGAGCCACAGCCAACCCAGCTACATGCAGTTATCTAACCCCTGGACACTCGCAGCCAGACACCAGAGCCGCCTCCCAACCCGGCAGACAAGAAGCTCCCGAGCCACCCTGGACTGCCCCACAGTCACCCCCACAACAGTAGATGCTAGTTGACTGTTGACCGGAACACCCTAGCTGGCTCAGCCTTGGTCTCAGTGTTGCCAGCTGTAAATGGGCACCACCTGCCTTTAACTGCCACTCTGCATGAATCAGGGATGCCGATAGGGCCCTTCTCCTTCACCCAGGCCTTGTGCAGAGAAAGTGGCAGTTCTGAATATCCACAGGGAGGGGTGCCTGGGAGAACTTCTGGGAGGCCTCAGACTTGAGTTGTGTGCACTAGGCCTTCGTGGGTGGGTGGGGTGGGTGATGTGGTTGTGACTCCAGGACTGGCTGATTCTGTCAACGTTTGCCCCTGGGTATTTTTTCCCCTATGTAAATGTGAAATCACGTCGTTCTTGTGAGTGCACATGGGCATCGTTGCGCAGGTGTTGGCAAGCGCCCAGTGAACTCTCGCTGTGCCGGCAAAGTGAAGGGCTTCTAGATGGTTCTGTCTTCACAGCAGCTGTGTGGGTGGAGTGACCCATAGTCCTTTTGGGTGTACAAGGGTGTGTGAACTTGCATATACATCCCAGCCGAGGTGGTTTACTGGCTCCCTGGGACCTGGAGTTGTGGGGGGTGAGGAGGAGAGAGGAGTGTCACCTTCTGCTGCTAGCTGCCCCCCCCATTATCCCTCTCTCTGAGGCTGTCCCCCACTTCAGTATGGGATTCTCCCACACACCCTCAAGCCTCTGGCTGCCGGGAAACCGGGAGTTGCTGGGGTTCCAGACAGGCAAAAAGGAAGGGAAGGGTCAAACTGGCCTCAGCCCCGCCTCCATCCCCCGAAAGGCCCTGGCCGGGAGTTGGGGGGACAGCCGCCCTTCCCACTTCCTGTCTAGCCGGCCGTCCCCTCCTCCAACTTCCTCTCCCGCAGGCCTCCAGCACCCCACCCCCAACCCTGCGGGTGCTGAGGAGGGGCCCCGAACTGAGCGCTCTGAGGGCACAGCTGGCACGCTGCCTTCGGGCCTCCTGCTGATGACAGCCTAGCTAGCGCCTGCGGGAAGGGGAGGGGTGGAGTCCCGGAGAAGCGTGGGGAACCAAGACCCCCTTATCATGGTACTCACTTCCACCACTACTCTCCAGTGCCTACTCCCAAAGAGGCACCCAGTTCACACCGAATATTGGTAGCTGTGTGTCCGGGGGACCCACACACTCTCCTCCTGCCACCCCCGGGTGCCCCTCCTCCCCATTTATCTCCCAATGCTTCGTGGCTCCCTAGGATTCTGTGCGCCCTGGGCAGGTCCCTTGTTCTTTCTGAACCCGGACTCCTTGAGTGGATGTGTCTTCATCCTTCCCATAATGTTTACTGAGTGCCCGCTATGTGCTAGGCCCGGGGACCCAGCCGGGACACGGACACGTTGCTGAGGCTGGTGTCGAAGAGGGTCCGAAAGGGATGGCGGACCCTCAAGCCGGCGAGTCAGGAAGATCTTTTCAAGGCGTGCCACGTGCTGTTCAGAGGGGGTGGGGGGGTCACGGTGGAGAGGCCCCGCAATAGCCCGGGCCGCGCGCTCCCGGAGGAGGGCGGAGGCGAGGGAGGAAGGAGGCGGAGGCGCCCGCTGCCCTGCGAGCTGCCTAGGGGGAGGCGTGGGAGCTTCTAGCGCAGTTCTCATGGCAACCCGGATGGAGCTCCAAACACAGCCTAGACGCCGGCGGAAAAGTCCGACCAGAGCAGGCTCTGGGCCCCACGGGGCTTTGGGGAAGCTGAGTCGCACGCACATCCCACCGGCCACCCGATGAGTGAGAGCAGAAAGTACAGAAAGGTCCCTCCAACCCATGCAAGGGAGGGGCTTGGTGGGGGTAGAGTGGATCCGAAAGATCTAGAAGAAGAATGTTCTCGGCTGCAGTCACAGCACATGCAAAAAGCCCTCCAGTGGGCACACCATTAAGGTGTGCGAGACAGAGGAGGGCAGTGTGTCTGGGATGGGAGAAGATGGCAATGATGGTTGGGATTGCTCAAAAGCACTCGTAAAGCGGGGCCTGGGGGTGGGGTCTGCGTCAGGATTTAGAGAGCCCTTGGGACTGCTGGGTAGATCAGGGTGGTGGAGAGTTTGCTCCAGGAAGACGCCCAGGTAGACGGGGGCTCTGGCCAGGGCAAACTCGGGGGCAACCTAGAGTCTAAGGGACTGGCGGGGTAGGAGGTAAGGCCGGAGGGTGGATCCTGCATCTGGGACCCCTTTCCCGGCTCCCGGTCGCCCCCGTGTGGCTGCGCGAGGACTCCCCCCGGACCCGGGTCTGCCTCTCGAGACCATCGAAGCCAGGCAAACCCCCGCCCAGCGAGGTCGGGGTGGTGCCTCAGGGGACCCAAAGGAGGCTCTGAAAAGAAGCAAGAGGGATGCTTAGAAGAGCGTCCGTGCCTCGCCTCACTCACACCCACTCAACGCTTCCATTCTTCAGTCACATCTGCCACAGCTCCGGCCGGCCCTTCCTCCCGCCCGGAACGCAGTTCGCGGCGCTCTACACCAGCCCTAAAAAGGCGCCTTCCGCCTGCGGCCACTAAAGTGCCTCTTTCTTACCCCTTCTTCCTTCCCCGTCCTCCCCTCTCTTTCTCCTCTCCCCTCGCCCTGCCCCTCTTTCCCCTCGCCTGCTCCGTCCTCTCACCCCCTCCTCATCCTCCCGACCTCTCCCTCCTCCTCCACCTCTTCTCCCACACCCTGCTTCCTTCTACCCCCCTCCCCGCTCTACCTCCTCTTTCCCCTCCTCTCTCCACCTCCTAGTCTCCTCCTCTTCCTCCCTCCCCTTCCTCTTCCTCTTCTGTCTACCCCGCTGGTCTTCCTGCTGGTGATTCTGCATTTGCCGTGTTTGGATTTTCCCTTAATCTAAAATAAGATATCAAGGGCCCTCCCTGGTAGCACTACGAAGCTAGTGGCAGCCACTGCAGCACGAGTTCGATCCCCAGCCAGGGAGCTGACCCACTTGGCGCCGCAGACCGCTCATCTCACCCACTGCTCCCCTCAGCAGTGTGCTTAAATCTGCCTGTTCTGCTCCCCGTTCTGTCTCCTCTGAATCCTCTCACCGCCCCTGCACCTCTGCCCAGTACCCCAGTTCTGTATGCATAAATAAATCTTAAAAAAAAGACACCAGGTCGTCCGCATCGCATCGAGGCAACCACCATGTCCCACTAGAGCGACTCTCCTGGCCTGCAAGGCACTCCCTGCCAGGACTGCTGAGGGGGCCCGGGAGATTAAGCTGAGCATTTCGCTTAGAAATGCTGAGCATTTCGCTTAAGTCGTCGGGAAGACTGTGTTTTAGCCCTGAGGGGGGTTTTCCTTCTCTATAGAAGGTGGAAACAGCTTCCATCCACCTCACTGGGGGGAGCGGCTAGGGAGCGGGGTAGGACCCGGACTGGTGCCCCCTGAAGCTACTCCCCAGTCGGGAGCGAGAGACGGCCACTGCGGGAAGCAGGGTCTTTTCCTTTCAGAAGCTGTAACTATGGGTAATTTTCTAAGAGCGACACACAAAAAACGAAGATCCAAACAACACCAGGAGGGGAGAAACCGCAGCAGCGGAGGAGCCGAGGGTGGCTGGGGCAGGGCTGCAGCCTAGACCTGGGGGGGGGGGGGGGGGGGGCCCCAGCCTTGGGTGGGAGGTGGTTCAACCTCTGGAGTTTCTCACTTCCGAAATGGGGTTATACCCCAAGACCCATCGCCTGGAAGCATAGTGCGGGATGGAGGTTCCAGATATGGGTTTTCACTGTGGCTTTGCCAGGTCCCCTCTGTGTCCTGGAAGGGGAAGCCATCTGAGCCTCAGCCCAGTGGAGCATACTCTCCTCCAGAACCGGGGTTGGCCATCCGCACAGCGCACCGCCCTACTTCCCACCCTCTTCCTGCCCCCCCCCACCCGCAAATCAAGCCCCACCCCTCAGTCCTGCTAGAGAACTCCAGAGTCAATCCTGCAACTGGTGTGCCCAGGACCTCTGAGAGAGGCAGTATTTCTTGTTACAGATGGGGAAACTGAGGTTCGGAGAGGCACCAAGGGAGTCACGTGGGCAACCCCGAGCCAGCACTACGTCTGGTGGAGTGTCCCCCAAGTACCCTCCCTTGATCTGAGATCCTCACTCTGGGAAATTGGAGGCATTTTGTGGAAATCTCAGTGGGGCCCAGTCCAGGAAGGGAGGAATGGGGGAGGGGTAGTCCACAGCAACTGCAGAGAAAGTTCTGCAGGTGGAACTAGAGCTCAGAGCTGTGTACTTGCTCCAGGACACACAGCAGAGTAAGGGGGCCCTTGGTTCCACTTTGGAATGAGCTGGCAACACTCCTCCCCCTATTGCTTTATAGCCTTGCCATAGCATCCTAAAGTTCTGCCACCC